GGTGATGGGAACGAAGGGGTGGGGAGGGGTGGAGATGAGGATCCGGGCAATAGAGAAGGGCAATAGTCACGAAGGCCCTGTAGCTTGGGGGCTGTATAGTCTGGAGACCTCAGTGACGTGAAAGTGGGGGCCAAAACCGTACGGCAAAAAAGCATTGCTGAGAACCCGTAACCAGCAGACGCGCCCCCAGGACCAGCTATGGCCCTGTGAGTTCTGGCTGCACTCACTCTGCCCAAATCCCTGGGTGGGAGACCAGGAACTATCCTTTTTGCTTCCTCCATCTCCTTTTCCTGCTTGTTCTCCCCCATTTCCTGAATTCCCCTCCTTAGTCTTTCTCCTCCCCCAACCCTAATGTTGTGTTCATGGAGGAAACTGAGCAGATTCGGGGGGAATTGAGTCAGTCAGCCAGACGCAGCCAGAACTGCTGGGAAAGGGTAGACCCTGAAGTCTCTAAAGAGATTACCACTACTTAGCCTCCCTCTAATCCCCCTCCCCCAAGAAGCAAAGCCAGACAGGCTAGCAGGACAGCTCCCAGCTGACAGAGCTGGGTATAGGCCCCCTGTGTCCTCCCTCCATGGTTACTGGGTACCCCCTCCCCAGCGCTGAGTACCCAGACCTCCGAAAGCACAACAACTGTATGGCCAGTCACCTGACCCCAGCAGTCTATGCCCGGCTCTGCGACAAGACCACACCCACTGGTTGGACGCTAGATCAGTGTATCCAGACTGGCGTGGACAACCCTGGCCACCCTTTCATCAAGACTGTGGGCATGGTGGCTGGAGATGAGGAGACCTATGAGGTAGGGGGCCCCCAGAGCCTCCCTGGTGACCCAACTCATCTTCCCAGTGATCCCAGCTCCTTCCCCCTACAAAGACCCCTCACTTTCCCCCAAGATTCTGGACCATCCATACTCAAGTTTTCTGACCCAGTGAAGTCAATCCAAAACTGAAGCCTGGGGAGGGATTCCCTCTCCTTAAGCATCCTTTCCCCTTTAACGTCCCCTCAGGTATTTGCTGAGCTGTTTGATCCTGTGATCCAAGAGCGACACAATGGATACGACCCCCGGACAATGAAGCACACCACTGACCTGGATGCCGGCAAGGTGGGCCAATATCCCCCTTTCGATTTACACTGTCTTTGTGTGCAACACTCTTTGCTGCTGCAAACACTTTACCTTGATTATTTCCTGACTTGTGGTCATTATACTGCTGAGCTTTTAATCTTGGTGTGGGGAAAGAATAGTATCTTAAGGAGCAGCAGATAATGAGGACGGCCATGCCCCAAGGTGGGCAATTTGGAGCAGGGTCCACAATGTCCCCTTCACTGGGAAGGCTTGCCCAATGGGACCCTCTTCCCCTCTTCGTGCACGCTCGGCACAAACAGTGAGGAGTCCTGTAATCCCTAGCACCTCTCCTTCCCCAAGGGCCTCAGGTTCTGCCCACTGTGTTTCTGTGACTTGTATGAATGTCCTTTACCCTTCAGATTCGTTCCGGCTGCTTTGATGAGAGGTATGTATTGTCCTCAAGAGTAAGAACTGGCCGAAGTATCCGAGGACTCAGTCTGCCTCCAGCCTGCACTCGGGCAGAGCGACGAGAGGTGGAACGTGTTGTGGTGGATGCACTGAGTGGCCTGAAGGGTGACCTGACTGGACGTTACTATCGGCTCAGTGAGATGACAGAGGCTGAGCAGCAGCAGCTCATTGATGTGAGGGTTCTTAAGAGGGACCTGGGTGGGGGGAACAGATGGAAAGAAGAGCCAGGGGAGGTAGCACCAGATGAGCTAGATGGGTTCTGAGAGGCCCACAGGTACCGTGAGGGCTCTTAACCTAGGACCCTTTGCCCTCCCCAGGACCACTTTCTGTTTGACAAGCCTGTGTCCCCACTGTTGACTGCAGCGGGAATGGCTAGAGACTGGCCAGATGCTCGTGGAATCTGGTATGAGGCTGCTCCTTACTTCTTTTGTCCCCTACCCCCGCATAAATGCCTTTTTTCTCTATCTCCCCCAATTCTTGCCCTGCCTCTTGACCCCTGTCCCTCCCTCCCCCCTGCCCTCAGGCACAACAATGAGAAGAGCTTCTTGATCTGGGTGAACGAGGAGGACCATACACGGGTCATCTCCATGGAGAAGGGGGGCAACATGAAGAGAGTGTTTGAAAGATTCTGCCGAGGACTCAAAGAGGTTGGAGAAGATTGTACAAGGGAGCTGGGTGGGAGGACATAAGGAAAACCAAAGACTAGCATAGGTAGAATGATCATATAATTTATCAACCAACCCTGGGCACTTTTGAGAGTGGAAGGGGACACTATTAATTACTCCAGGACAGTAGATATAAACCAGGACTGTCCTGGGCAAACCAGGACATATGATCACCCTAAGAATAGGCCTGATCACCCTAAGAATAGGAAGAGGGAAAGAATATCAGGAACCTAAGGAAGTAAATAGAGCAAACAGTTGCCAAATAATACAAAGTAGGAATAACTGATTTGAGATGGTGGGTCAGTGTCAATGGTGTGTGGTGTGGGATGTTGGGGTATGCAGATGAGGAAAACATTTGAGCCTGGATTGATAAAGAGGTTGAGAGATTAGTGTATTCATATTTCTAATGTAACCACCTCAGTTATGAGCCAAGGTAGGCCTTGACTATGGAATCCATTATTCTTGCTAAGGTATCATGTCAAAGCTTTAAGTTGAGAGTGGGAGGGAGACTGGGGAAGGTGGAGTATGGAATGGCTTAAGTTTCAGAATGTGTGGCTCTAGATAAGGGATTTTCAATCATACATGGATTCTAGATTCAATTCTAGAATCCCCCACAAACCCAACTCTTCTGTCTGTTCTCACATATACAGTTCTATTTTGGACTTGCAAAGAGAGAGAGCTTCTCTTCCTTTTAGATTCTAACTGGGAAGTTTCTGCTGTTTTTTGGCAAGTAATAGATAATATTCTGAATATAAATGGGAGAGAAGTACTTTTTAAATAATAGGCATCCGTTTCCTCATCTGTAAAATTGAGGTAATAAGATTTCCTACTTTTTAGGTTGTTATGGGGATGAGATAATGCATATAAAGTACTTAGCAGAGCACATGGCCCATAGTAAGTACTCAATAAACGTCAGCTGCTGTTATGAGTGTTCTAGATGGAATGGTTTCCCCATGTTCAGCATGTAAGAGGTCCCTTATGCCATGGTTCTTTCTCAGCTGTGAACAGGGACTCCTTTACTCATGTTGGATAGTGGTCTTCATGGTCAGTCACTCTGGAGAATCCTCTGTCTCTTCAGATCTAATAGTCATTTTCATGATTAGGAGGCTTAAGCGAAACAAAAACATACTTCACACACACCTGTGAGTCTTTGGCTTTTCTGCTCTTTTTCACCTTTTTCTCTGATTTCTCACGTGTACTCTTTCCACAGCTAACAGACAGCTCTCCTTCCTCTTCCTGTTGCAAAGCCCACACTCTTATTTCCTATCTCAAAGGACCCTTCCAAGCTTGAGGCTCATTAGCATGCAGAACTCTTTGAATAATCAATCCTTTCTCAGTTTGGTTCACCACCTCCACTGTTTCCCTAGATCATCCTTAATGCATCACTCCCTCAAGTTCCTCCTTTTCCCTCCATACAAGAAAAATTTCCACAATTGACCCGTGACATCAAAATTACCTTGTATGCATGATAACAGTAACAAAGCACTTCTACCACCAAAAAAAAAAGCAGCATCATTCTCTCACACCTGAAGTTTCTGGTTCTAGATGTGGAAAGAGTTCCTGGGGTCTAGCTAAGGGAGGGTCTACATATCCCTGGTTTTTCACTAACAGAGCCTTTGTGCACTCAGGTGGAGCGGCTGATCCAGGAGCGTGGCTGGGAGTTCATGTGGAATGAGCGTTTGGGATACGTCTTGACCTGTCCATCTAACCTGGGCACTGGACTTCGGGCAGGAGTGCACATCAAACTGCCCTTGCTAAGCAAAGTAAAGGAGTTGTGGGGTTGGAGGGGGTGTAAGCGAGAAAGGTGGGAGGGTAAGGATGGTGAGGGGATGAGCACTTTGGAAAGGGGCTAGATGCATTGAAGCTAAAGGGTCAGGGGAAAGAGCTCCGTGCAGGTCTAGGACTCTTTCAGGTAGGGCCAGTCTCCGCCTCTATTGACCTGAATCCCCATCTCCATCTCGCCTCTAGGATAGCCGCTTCCCAAAGATCCTGGAGAACCTAAGACTCCAAAAGCGTGGCACTGGAGGAGTGGACACAGTTGCCACAGGCAGCATCTTTGACATCTCTAACTTGGATCGACTGGGCAAGTCAGAGGTGAGATCCTTAGGGATTAGAGGCAAGGGAAGGGGAGGTCTGTGGGGGTTGAGAGAGAGTGAGCTTCAGGAATGTAATAGAATCTGAAATGAAATTCAGGTTGAGCGGGGAGGCAATTAGAAATGAGTTCCCAGAGTGGGCAGATCAGTGCTAGAGAAAGAAACTCAGGTTGTGGGAATCAGAGATCAAGGGTTAGCGTCCTTCAGGTGGAGCTGGTGCAACTGGTCATTGACGGAGTGAACTATTTGATCGACTGTGAGCGGCGTCTGGAGAGAGGTCAGGATATTCGCATCCCTCCACCTCTCATCCACAGCAAGCATTAACTCCCCGTCCCGAACAGATGAATCAAGATCCCCAGGACTCCTGCCCATTGTAATCGTGGCCCATTCTATTTGTCCTGGACTTGCCCCTATCCTAGTAAAGAATCCTTGCTATGCTCCAGCTGTCTGTGTTATTTCTGATGATGGGGTGAGGAGAGAGCAGCCTCCAGGAAAGGAAAAGAGACAGTGGGGTTACTTGTGATGGAAAGAGACTCCAGATATGGAATGCCAGGAACACTGAGTCTCGGGTGGGTGGAAAACATTAGCATATTACCCATATTCCTCATCAATCTCCTGAGAATAATTAAGAGGCACTTCCATTTGCACTTTATTCATTATGACTTAAGGTTTCTCTCCCAACAGTCTCCCTCCTTAACTGTACAGAGAGCCTCAGAGCAGTTGGCCAAGGAAGCATATGGTCAATGCCAGGGCCCAGGAGAGTTGCAACCAGTCCTGGAGTCCCCAGGCTGTGCTTCGACCTATAATGAGACAAGGAAAGGGAGGAATATCACAACTCCGATCCCCAGGAGCCATTGCCGCTGAAAAACTAGCTCTCTGCCGGTAGACCCTTTCACTCCAGGGATCTCCCTGGATAAGTTCTAAGAGCCAGACAGCACCAAGCTAGGCATCATATTGTGGTTCAGAAGATGGAGGATCAAACTGTGCAGTTGAGAACTCACCCTGCTGTTCTGGGCTTTCCTTCCCCTCATGCTGGGCCCATGCAACTGCTTGTCGCTGCTCGGGACTCAGAAAGGCCATTTGCTCAGGAGTGACAGCCACAGCCTGAACACTGGTGAGACTAGACAGCTGGGTGGGGCTGAACACCACCTGGGGGTGGGGACAGGAATCAGTACATCCACTGTAGCCTCCACCTGGCCCTGGCTTTCCTGTGGTCACCCCAGGCCCCAGTTCATCGTACTTACCGCAAATTTAGGAGCAGGGATGACAGAAATGGCGAGTGGGGTAAGGCCCTGGATCTGTCCCCGCAGCAGTGCTGAAAGAGCAAGGTCTGGGATCCCAGCTGTTGAAGCAAATGGGATGGACATCCATATCTTGTCTTAGACTGGCCTTCTCTCTGTTCAAACCTATAGGCCTCCTTCCCAAAGCACCCTACTCATAGGCCTTCCTAACACGTCTCCAACTTCTCACCTAACCCCCTTTTCAGGCCCTCACCTTAACTGCAGAGCAGTCTCCATCCAACCCACCCCCTGGTACGGAGACCAGTCCCTGACAGCTAGCACCAGCAGTGTGACAGCCTTTCCACCTGCTATTGTGCCAACTTCAGTGAAGATCTCAGGCCCCCAGTTACTGACGGGACCAAAGCCACCAGGCAGCACAAGGAGCTGGGCCAGAACCTCTAGCTGCTCCTCAGAGCACTGGAGAGGCAGGTTGCCCAGGAAGAGGGCTGCTTGGCTGTAGAAGAGTGAGGAGGAAGGGAAGAATTCAGCTTCAGTGACAGGACAACAGACAATAGAGATAAACCAGCCTTCAAATGAGTCCCCTTACTCCACAACCCTTCCCTCTCTGGGCGAGCCCATCGTCACCTTCAGCACCACCACTCACACCCCCCTGCACAGGTGACCTAAACTCCCAACTGCTGATGTGCTGTAGCTCCTCTGGCCGCAGTCCACAGAGCGTGTAACCCAGTGCTGTCAAGTGAATGAAGTCCAGGTGGCTCACGTGCCGGCCACTCTGCCGCAGGAAGCTGGAGACCACAATCCGGCGCTGGGGGGTGGGGAGGAATACACAGGACAAGAAGAGAAATCAGAGAATTAATGGAAGGAGAAGAGATCAGAGAAATGATGGACACAACTGGATTATATTCTCTTATTATTAAGACCTGAAGATCCAGCAGCCACGGGGACGGTTGAAGATCCAAAAAAAGAAGGAAGAAAAAGAGGGGCCATCAGGCAGGAGGGAGTCTTATGTGTCCAGGGCTTCAGCGTGAATAAGTCCCTAAGGTTACTAGTATAGGGTATTAAGATAGAAAGAATGGCTAGGCAGGGTCACAGGAGAAATTCCTTGGGCTTTAGATGACCTCAAGGCCTGGATCTATGGGATGGCTGTTGTGGGGGAAGGGTAGGGAGGAGGTAAGGTCACCTGGACAGAGCTCCAGCCATCTATCTGGCCCAGGGTGCTCAGCACTCCCCAGTCCACCAGGAGCAGCTCCTGTAGCTCCCGCTCTCCTAGTCCTATTAAGAGCCGACCCAGCTGCAGGATCTGCTCAGGACGGAATCCTTGAGGGGGACCCCACAACTAGGAGAAAGAGAGGAACAATGTGAATGGAAAAAGCACTGGACTGGGAGTCAGAATGCTGGGTTTTAGTCTTGCCTCTGACCTTTGCTGTGTAACTCTAGGCAAATCACTTGGGTCTTTAGTTTGCTCCACTGTGAAATGAGGGGGTTGTTAAAAGTGTTATTAAAAGACCTTGGAGTCTCAGTAGAAAAGAATAGCAAACTCTAGTTCATGAGTCTGTGAGTTCTAGATTTTATGTGCATCAGACTCACCAGGGGTGTCAGCCCCATTGTAGATGCCCACTGCTCATCCCCAGAAATTCTTATTCAGTCAGTCTAGCATGGGAGCTAGCGTCAGCATTTCTAAAACCTGCTCCCCAGATGACTCTGATACACACTAACATTTGCTAACCACTGCTCCAGTCTCTCTCCCCACTGTACTGGCTCCCTTTCCTCAGTATTCACCCCCTCTGACTTCCCACTTGTTACACAGTCTAACTCCTTCTATCTCCTAGTACCCCCCCACCAACCCTCCATTCCCTTGTGTCCCACACCACACCTAACTGGCTTCTCCATGTGTTTCCGCCTCCACCCCAGTAGGATTCTCCATCCTAACCTGCTTTGCCTTGCCCATGGCTGCCCGCAGTTCCTCAGGCCCAAGCCCTGGGTCTCCTGCAAAGAGTGCCAGGCAGTCCTCAAAGTCGGAGAGCTCCATTTGTGAAATCTGGGCTGCAGACCAGGCTGCTGGGAATGTCCCCCGTATATCTGCACAATCTGGCACAGGTTCTGAAGGGGAAGGGAGAATCAGAGGGTCAGTGTAGTGCTAAAATATGCCCAGATATAGAATGACTCCTGTAAATAGAATGTATATAGAATGCCCCTCCAGTCTTTGGAGGATGGGGCAGTGTGGGCAACGTTGGTAGAGGGATTACTGTAATGTGATATTTATCGGGCTCAAAGGATAGTAGAACAAGAAGGGACTAAAGAGGACAAGCTCCTCCTTTTATAGATGGGAAGGCTGAGGCCTAGAGGAGGTTTCCCAGGGATTTAATAGCAGAGTAGAGATTAGAACCCAGGTCCCTAGTTCCTTCCTACGTCTTAGGATCTCCCCAGCAGAGAGCTCCACACTTAGCCAAGCCTAGTGCTGAGTTACCTGCTGACAGGGATAAGAGAGCAGGAAAACGGGAGTCCTGGGCCAGTAAATTTACGGGCTATAAACTCCCAGAACTACAGAACATCCTCCTAACCCCTTTGCTTTATAGGCAGGAAAACCAAAGTCCAGAGAGCAAAGGTTTGCAAATCTGCTTAAAAGGCACAGCACATCTAGCGCCCAGATTTCCAGATGTGTTGTTTGATACTCTTTCCTGTACACCTTACTAGAGGTATGACTTGTTGGGCAGTTTCACCTGGGAGATCCTCGGCAGCAGGATGCACGACCCCAGATACCAGGGCTGCTTTCTTGGGAACCAGCTGTGGCCCCCCACAAAGCTGTCCAGCTTTGCTCTGCTCCCAGCTCTGCTGCCTCTCTAGAAGCCGCTCCAGGGTCTCTGGGCTCAAGATCTCCTACACAAGACGGTAGAGGCAGGATGGGAGACCTGGGCAGGACCAGGGTCAGCTGCTGCAGCTGTAATTCCAAAATCCTGTATCTGTTTAGCAGTCTCCCCCAGCTCCAGCCTTTACATTCTTTGCCTCCAACCTCCTTGGCCTTAGGTCCCCAGACCAGCTCACCAGTCCCCTCTATGGTCTTATTCCCTCACTTGTTCCTTCACCTTACCCTGGGGATCAAGGAAATAGCCTCAGTAGACAGAGTGAATAGTAGGCGTCCAGCTTGTTCTACTTCATCCTGGCTCCACAACTGTGGCTTCCTGGGGGATAGGAAGAAGATCAGGGACTGGGGAACTAAGGAAACTGTGAAGAAAAGGAAGGGGAAAAGAGGGCATGGTAGGATTGGAGACTCAGACCTCCAAGGGGGACATCAAGCATATGGAAGGGGCTGCCACTGGTGATGACAGTTGAGGGGCTGGGCTTAGGGGCAGGTTGGGTTAGAATCTGAAGCTCCTAAAGGTCCGTACCCAAGAAGAGGCTCCTGCAACAGCAGCCATCCCAGCTCTGTAGCAAATGGCTCTCCCAGGCAGTAGTCCTGCAGCTGACTGAGATAGGAGAGCAGGGTCTGTAGGGGGATCCGTCGTGTGCTCTCTATCCCCAGGAATCCAACCAAGGGGCCCAATGCCTCCAGCACTTCCCTTGAGACTGGGGCCTCTTTTGGAGCCTAGGGAAGAGCATAAGGACAATGCCACCTCTGACTCAGAGTACCAGAGTCTTTGGTCAAGGCACTAAGTCCCTTGACCTTCCCTTTCTTCCAGCTCTCAGCACAGGGCCCTATGATGCTCAATGCCACTGTTTACTTTCTTAAGCCATCAGCCCAGACAGGAGCAGGCAGAAAGACTAGAAGGAGAAACCCAAGGGATTTTGTGGAATCCAAAAGATGAGGACAAGGAGCATGAAACAGGCTCTTGAGGAATAGAACCCAGAGGCAGGTCTGAGGGTTAGGGCCTTGGACATGGGAACCCATGTGGCAGCAAGGAGGAGGCTTGGGCCTAGAAGATAGTCACAGGGCATCATCTGAGAGGTAAGAATTGCCAAGGGCAGCAGATCTGAGTCTGGTAGGCTGGACTCTTACCAGGTTTTGTAGTGCCCTCTCCGCCAGGGCTGCTCTGTGAGGTGGGGTCAATGCCAGCAGCTGCTCTGGAGCTCCTCGTACCAGCTCCACCACCAACATAATGGATTCATTGGACAATCTGTCCATCAGGCGGATCCTATAGCAATCAGGCAACTGGGGCACTTGGGGAACTGAGCCAAGTCAAGAAGGGACACAGAGTCTTATACTCCCTAGGCAGGATACAACACCAGTCCAGACCCTGTGGCCTTGGACAGGCACTGATCTTAAACAGTCCCAGATCCAATTCCAATCACTGTGCTTGAAGGGAGAGAACAAAGGGAGTGAGATATTTCTAGTCTTCCAGACAAGGAATAACAAACGATCCTATGTGATCTAACTGACTCAAAGGCCCAAATATTAAGTGTCATTAACTTTTTCCCCTCATTTTGTAGAGTAAAATACTGAGGTTCACAGAGATCAAATGGTGGGGTCTTACTCCCAGTTCCTGTCCTTTCCATGGTGCCACCTTTCCTTTACTGTGAGGAGGTCCCATCTCCTCTGTACAGCGCTATACCATTTACAAAGTTTTCAGATACTCTTGTCTCATTTGATCCTTATGACAAAAGCTGTGGGTAAAATAGGATATTTTTATTATCCCTTTTTCACAAATGAGAAACTCAGGTCGTCTGACTTGTGGTCCAGGATCTTCCACCTCATCATGGCCCTCGAGGTTCTAAATTATATCAGAGAATCAACATACTTAAACAGAGTTAAATGGCATTTAAAAAAAAAAAAAAAAGCCCTTTCATCCAGAAACAGAAAGTGACATCCTGTAAACTATAATGTATCTAGGGTTGTTAATTCTGGAATTGGGCCAATTAGCACAAGAACCAAAATCTATGCAGGGGTCTAGAAAAAAATTAAGGTCGGAGTGAACTACTTTTAACATCCCCACATCCCCAGGTAGACTGTGACACCAGCCTTTTGCTACTCTGACTTACAGTGCAAATGGTGATGGGATTGGGGTGGGGCTAAGATCGGAAAAGAAGCATGTGAGTAAGATACTCATAAACTCCTAGAATCTCTGGGCTGGGAGGAGACTTGGGTTCATCTAGTTCTCTCTCCGCCCCCCCCCACCCCATACTTGAATCTCTTCTACAATATCCTTGCCATGGGGCCATCAAGCCTAAGATGAATAGTAGCTCCAATGATGGGGAACTCACTACCTCTATTTTCCTTATATTGTGCAAAAATCTGATTTTCAGCCATTGGTCCTAGTCATGTGCAGTGGGACCATTCAGAAACATCCCAGTCTATCTCTTACTTGATAGCCCCTCAGGAATTTGAAGGCACTTATCCCATTTTTCGTGCACTTTCTCTTTATCTGCTCCTCTGAACACACTGAGAGCAAGTGTCCTAAGCAGAATACGATCCTCTGGGGCAGAATCTGACCATTGCCTCCCTCATTTCAGATACTGTATCTCTATTAATGTGGCCGAGGTTACCTTAAGATTATTTGGCAGCCTCATCACAGTGTTGTCACTCTCAGCTGTCCCATGCTGGGGACAGTGTTCTGGGAGCCAGTCAATACGTACAGCAACTTTTGCACAAATCCTCTGCTTTTGGTTGTAAATGATGTCAGGGAACCACTGGACAGAAAACCACCCCCTGTATGGCATTTCTGAAGGGAGAACTTCTACCAAAGTCGGCCTTTCTGAGGATCCAGGACCTCCAACCCTGGCACTTACGGTAAGTCCAGGAGTAGCTTGGTGTCCAGCTCGCTCAGCTCTGGCCCCAGGGTTGCCAGCTCTGGCTCTGGCATTGTCATCCTCCGCTGTAGCTCCTCCCAGATACAGAGTCTCTGTGGGGCAGGGTGAAGAAGCAGGGTCAGGGCAGAGCTGAGCACAGGCGATGAGCACAGGGGCCACAGTCCCTGACTCCCTGCTCCCATCACTGCCCAAGTAGGTCCTCTCACCAAGCTCCCTCGCACACCGGTGGGCAGCTGATAGATCATGTGCATCACTTGAATGAAGTCGGCCATTGAGCTGATCTGCTGTAGAAACTCACAGGACATGCCCCCTGCCAGGGTGCCTAGAGCCCTGTGGGTGCATGGGTAGGTGGAGATTCATTCAACATGGGCCGCAGCTTGTCTGTTCCCTGATATCAGCACTCTCAAAACAAGTACAGAGGTTTACCGATGCTAATTTACAGTCTGGGCAACTGCTTTTGCATAGATGTTCTTATTTGGCTCCCCACAACATCAGTGCCGTTTTGCAGATAAGAAAATAAAGATTTACAGGGGTCTAGTGATGTTCCCAACAGAAGTGGCGGTAAACTGACACTGGAGCCATGTCTTCAGATTCTGAAGCCAATAGTTCTGTAACTGCAGGTGTGAGTAAGGTAATGCCTGCTTATTCCTGCTTGGCCGGAGGCTCTGAAGTCACCTTGAATGAAACTAATAACAGCAAACATCTATTGGGAGCTTACATCAGGCCAGGCACTGTCTTAAGTACCTTACATGACTTACCTCATTTAATCTTCACAATGCCTACCTATGAGGTAGGTACCCTTTTAATTCTCATTCTGCAGAAGAGAAAACTGAAGCTTAGAGAGCTTAAATGGCTTGCCCAAGATTATGAGTAGGTGACAGGGCTGGGACCTGAACCTGGGTCTTCTGGCTTCCTAGGTCTATTCAGGGTGGGCGTGGCATAGCGGATGAGCAGAGGGCAAGCGGGAGGAGCCAGGAGAACGTCCACAAGGTGGGAACTCCATGTTTTATTCATCCCTGTAGCCACCATCACATATCACATGGTCCCTGACACATGGTAAGTGCTCAGAAAGTATTAACTGAATTAAACTCACTGCTCAACACAAGTTACTCACTGCAGATTCCTCAGGGTCAGGTTGCTGGGCACTTGCATCTTCTTCCAGAGAAACTGTGCCTACAAGAGAAAGAAAGAGGAGCCGCTTCCCAGCAGAGATATTGTCCCAAAACCTAAGATCCCTTGGACCGAGTCCTGCCTCTCCATGCTGTGGGCCCCACCAGCCTCCCACTCTTCTGATGCCCACTCCTGTCTCAGAGAGAGAGAGAGAGAACTGGAGGAATAGGGAAGAGGGAGAAAGGAAGAGCAAAGCAAGTCATGGTATAAGGGATTCTAGAAATAAGCCCCAGGTAGGGCTGAGGGAAAAGGAGGTGGGACAGACTGAGAGAGAAGAATCCTGGGGCCAGTGGGGACAGTTACCTGCTGCTCGGACCAGAGCAGCTCCCGGGAGTGCCTTCGGTCAGCCAGAAGAGCCACGGAGTCCAGCTGTAGCAGCTTTAACGGGAGCAGGGGAAGCAGGCAATCTGGCCAGGTGGTAGGGCTGGGCTGTTGGTGGTGACGGGCGTAGCGGTGTAGTGATAGGTAAGGGGGTCTGGACTCAGCCCTCAGAGGAGCCACGGAGCCAGGAAGGGACCAAAGCAGGGACAGGGGTGGAGTGGCATTTGCCACTGTAGAAACACACGCCTGAGAGCCTCACAGTGAAGACTGTTTGGTCAAATGTTGCCGCTACGTAAGCACCTGATGAACTAAACCCCTCAGCCTCCCCAAGCCCGGTCTTTTCATCTCAGAGTGGGGCGGCTGACCTGGAAGATTTCTCAGGCCCTTCTGGAGCAGACATTCTAGGACATGCGGCCCTGCATGTGGAACTGGAGGGAGCTGCTAATGTCTGGGTGGGTGCAGAGCTAACAGACACTCTCGGGGCCACTGCAGGGAGTGTGTGCAAGGTAGCATCAGCCATAGGAAACTGTCCCAGTACATGCAGTGGAGCTCAGTCGGGAGACCTCACACATACCCGACCAGGGATGCACACAGCTGCACCGCCACCTGCTGTACCCGTATTTTTAACGCCATCTTTCACCTGCGTAAGAATCATCGTCTGTGTGTGTTTAAGGGAGTAGGGAGATACGGGAAGGCCTTCCTAGCCACAGGGAAGATGTTCTCCTCCCGCCAGAGCTCACATCCCCATCTGTCTCATCCTCCCTGCTGCTCATACCCGAAAGCTGTGCAGCAGTGCTGCGGTCTGGCAGGCTGAAAGACGTGACAGTTCAGGGGCCAGGCAGGGACAGGCCGCAACCAAAACTCGCCTCGGGATGGCCTGGAGTGTCTGGGGGCTGAGGCCTGGCAGCAGAGGGTGTAGGGAGCAGAGTTCCTCCAGGGACAGCTGGGGAGGAAGAAAGAAGCGTGAAGAAGAGGGGCAGTGTGATGGAGAAGACGACAAGGCAGCAGGTGTGAGGGCCGCTGAGAGGGAGGAAGGGACAGATGCGGGGCCAGGGTAAAGGGGAACAGAGAACTCTGAGGGGTTGTTGAGAAGCTGCTGCTACTCACATCATGCCTTGGGAGGAGCCGTCCAAGCAGCAGGACAGCCTGAGGTGGGGCGGAACAGCAACAACAGCTCTCAGGCCCCAGTGCCCAGGTCCCAAGAGGATCCCTATGTCTGCCCTCCAAAAGTGCCAGCCCTCACCAGGTAAGAAATCATCCTCTTGACTTGACTGGCCCAGCTTCTGCTAGGTGGGACGGGAGTCAGTAGCGTGTCTCCTAGTGGGCCGCTCCCCAAAATCCCCCAGTGGCAGTTCTCCCCCAGTGAGCAGGCTGGCTCAGGGCCCTTTCAATCTGAGGAAGGGGCACGAGGGGATCCTCCTAGGGATAGGGTTCACCTCCAGTGCTCACCCAGGCAAAGGAGGCCTCAGGGGGGCTGATGGTATCCCTGAATGTGAGTCTCTTGATTGGGGTTCCAGGGGTTGGAGGGTGGATGCCAGGGAGTGGGACAGGCCCACCTGGGCAGGTGTGACACTGGTTCCCTGCAGGGCAGGAAGCATGGCTCTGAGCTGGGGCTCTGACAGCTCCTGCAGGAATCGGAGGCCCAGCTGAGGAAAGAGAGGGGCCCAGACCCGCAGCTCCCGGGGGCTCAGCACAGTTCCTCCAGCTGAGCGCAACACCGCCAGGAGTTCATACGCCACCTGCAACCAAGGAAGGTTTGGGACTGGAGAGAAAAGATGGATGAACCTTGAACCTCCTCTCTAACCCCACATCTAGATTTCCCAGGGCCTGGGCTAGGACTTGAGACCAGGGATGGGACCAGAGTAGATGAGGTTCTAGATGGCAGAGGGTATGTTTGGAGTACCATATGTCATGGGGTAGATCCAGGGAGAGACAGCAACAGATCAGAATGGCCATGAAATAAGGATGGAGGTGGCAAAAGTGGGATAGGGGACTGGCACCACTGTGCTCAGGCTTGGTTGAGAACACTGGGTAAGTCATCCACACAGACCCAGGGGAAGCCTGGAGTCTTGTAGGCCTATGCCAGGGGCTCACCCGTCCTTGTGGGCTGAGGGTCCCGTTAGCTGCACATTCCAGCAGCCCCCGTTCTACTGGCCCCATCGGGTCATTCAAGGGTACCAGGCTCTGCAGCTCCTCCGGGCTCAGGAAACAGACGAGGGACCCCAGCCTGAGGAGGGCATGAAGCTGGCCTTTGTGTGGTCACTGAGGCTGGTACTAAGGCAGGGATCATGTGGGGACATGGAGCAGACACTCTGACCACTGAACTAGAAACCATGGGCATCATACAGCTTTCTCTTCTGGAGCCCTCTACTGCCTGGGGCCATTGCCTACTCTCTTGGTCCTTCCTTCCTAGAACCCCAACCCACCATGACAGCTGTACCTGCCTCTCTCTACCTCGCCCACTCTGGTCTTGATCACCAATACCACAACCACTCACCTGCGCACCTGCTCCTCCCCATCCTGGACACTCTGGTTCACCAGGCTGCGTAGCACATGTCGGGCTTGCCCTGGCCCAAGACCTGCCCCTGGCCAGCTATCCTCCAGGGCCTGGATCTGAGATGGGGAAGGTCAGCTTATGCTGGGGTCACTGTGGGACACTTGTTGAGAGGGGCTCACTAGGAGACGTGCTACTGACTCCTGTCCCACCTAGCGGAAGACGGGCCAGTCAAGTAAAGAGGATGATTCGCATACCTGGTGAGGGCTGAGCTGCAGAAAGTTCTCCAAGGGGAGATGGGGGAGCAGGGGCACAACTGCCCACAGCAGCTCCTGGGACCAGGCAGGCACTTCCCCAAACAGCTCGGGGGCCAGCAGTCGCTTTGCCAAAGCCTCCTTCTGTTCAGGCCTCATTCCTGGGCTGTAGTTCCGGATAGCAGCCAGGCTAGGGAGAGTAACGGGTCTTAACCTTTGGTCCTGTTCCAAACTGCTGTCCCCTGGCCCTTTGCCGCCCCTCTGTCACGGATGGGAAGGAGATTCTCTCTGGTTTTAGTAGAGAAGAGTTCTGCAAGGGGCTCTCTAGGTGGGTGGGGTGGTCCTGATCCTGATAGGAGCCGGCAGGGTGTTGCGAGGACCTTACACGGTGTCGTTGGCCAACAGGGATGGTGGGAAGCGCATCAAGTCCGAGACAGCCAAGAAGGGGATGAGCGGAGACAAGTCGATGAAGAGCTGGGAAGTGAGGCGTGGGTACCGCTGAAGCAGCAGGGCTGTCAGGCGACCCACAGCCTGCTCCTCTGATGGTCGTACCTGCGTAGGCACGGGAATGGGTGCTGACTCTGGAAATGCGCGGTATCCTGGCCATCACCTCTCTCGAGCAACTCCTTCCACTGAGGCAACCCCTCGGCACACCAGGTTCAGACACTCTTGATCCCTGGATGCCCCCCCTGCACCCTCATTCCCCTCTCAGTCTATGCCCACCTGTAGCTGGGCCCAGGAACGGTGCATGAGTGTCAGGAAGCTCTGAGCGGCCTCCCTCTCTGCTGAGAGCACCAGCTGCTGGAGATTTTCTGGGGGCATGTGCAGGTACTCCTGGGAGATGGGAGGGCATGGTGGGTATGGCCACATTGGGCAGGGACCTCTGGCCATGGCTGTCACCCAGCCCACCCATGCGCCCCTCCACCTCTTACCTGCACTAGAATCTGCAGGGCCCAAACACTCTTCTCCCTCTGGAGCAGATCCCACAACACGGGCTGGGAGGGAGACAGACAAGATGCCAAGAGAGTTGTCTCCTCTGTCCCTTCTGCAGCTTCCAGGCACTGCAACTTCACTTGCTGGGATGCTTGTTCTTCATCTGAAGCTAGTAGGCGTGACTCCTCAGATATTAAGCTCCTTTAGGGCAGGGACCATGTTTCTAACTTCTGTATCCTCTCCCATGCCAGCTCCATAGTTGGCTCAATAAATACTTGTAGATGGGAAGCAAATTACTATGAGCCCATCCAATCCCATTTCACTGGTCCCAGGGCCCTAACATGAAGTAAGGAACCTTTATATATCCTACAGAACCTAGCAAAGCACCTTGCACACAACAAGTGTTTCGTGAATGAATTATGGTATTTATAAGCTCTAGCCCTTCACTCTACAGAGAAGAAACTGAAGCTCAGAAAAGCTAAACTAAATTATTTGCCTAAGCCCACCTAATCTGCAGCAGAGTTGCACCTAGAACCCAAGTCTTCTGATTTGTAGTACCCCTGAATTTTTCTCATTCCTGCCTTATCCTCCTATACTCTGCCAGCTTCCAGTTCTCACTCTCTAGCAATAGAATTAGAGCCCTCTAATTTGATCACTTCTTTCCTGGAGCAGAAAAAGGGAGAGTCAAAGAATCAGAGAATAATAAGGATATAACTTTTATTGCATGTTTATGTACCAGGCACTGTGCTAAGCCCATAGCATGCATTGTCTCATGTAATCCTACAACCACCCTACGAGCGTGGTACATTATTCCCAGTTTATAGATAATAAGACTGCTCAGAGAGGTTAAATAACTTGCCCAAGGTTGGGCACAGATCTAAGATATGACCCCAAGCCTGCCTGACCCCAGAGCTGTGTGCTGACACCACTGTGCTATACTACTGCCTGTCAGCGTTAGAGGAATTCCCCCGGGAGCCTCCCTCAGTTCCAGGAGATTCCACCTCGGTAGATCACTCACGCTGAAGCAGGCCAGCAGCTCTGTCTTGCTCAGTCCAGAGCCGGCGCTGACAGAAGGGTCAAAGCCCGGTGGGGTCTGCTCCTCCTGCTCCAGGTACTCCCCGACTGTCCGCAGCACGCTGTGCCGGCCCTCTGGCCGGAAGGTGTCCCAGAAGGAGCAGTTGTCCGGGAGACTGGAGAGCAGCAAGGCCTGGCCCAGCAGCCCCTGGGCCTCAGCCCCGCCGGCCCCTGGGCCCAGGAGGAAGGTCAGCAGGCGCAGCAGATAGTGAAGGCGTGCGGGGTGGGCAAGGGCTGGCACAGAGGACTGACAGCGTGGCAACTGGGACAGCATGCCAAGCAGGAAGGGGCCAGGAGCCAGGCAGAGTGGGGATGGTCCCAGTGCTGGCAGAGAGGGCAAGAGGGGGCCCAGAAGCCCGTCTAGGAAGCAAGTGTCATTGCCTCCACGACTTATTCTGCACTGGCCTGCTAGCCAAGGCCAGAAGGGCACCAGGGCCTCGTACATAGTGTCATTGGCACAGACCATCACCAGGAAGCTGCCCCCATCTGGGCAGCGCTCCCCACAGGGTCCAATGTGGCAGGGTGGGAAGTCAGTGATATCTGGAGTGGGGCCCTGGCACACATGCTGAACCCAAATCTGGTTGCTGGGGGGCACAGCCTGCAGACTTGCCTCCGCACACAGCCGCTCGGCCCACAGAGTCTCGTTCTCTAAGAAGCAACCCCAGAAGATGTCTGGGGTGAGGGGAACAGGGGGCAGACCTTCAGGGCAGCTTGTGGGGGGTGGGAGTAGGCCGGCACAAAGCCGCTTTACCAGGCGGCGGTTTGGGCCAGACAGGGCTGAAAAGGAGAGGTTGCTACAGATTGCCTCAAGGAACTGATCAGGAGACTGGTCGTGGCACGCCTGCAGCCAGCCCTGGGCACCTGGAGCCCATGACACAGCATACCACACAGCTGTCTGGCAGATGGCAGTGGTGCTGGGAGGGGGCTGTGGGGTGGCAGGCTTGGCGTGCTGGCAGAGCAAGTGGATGGAGAAGTTGGAAACGCTGTAGGGTGGTGCTAGGTCTGAGTGGTTCTCGCAGAGGGCCTCCACAGAGATGGCTCGCCGTTGGCGAGGGCTGATGTGGGCTGCAGGCTGGGAAGTCCTGGGCAGAGGCACACCTGTGCTCATGCAGTAGAGGAGGGCAGGGGGTGGGGGTGGCGATCCAGACAGAAAGCCCAGTGCCTGGACATCCCAAGAGAGGTTGTGCCGGACGCCCCTGGGTGCAGAGAGACGAGCTGGTGGGATCTGGTCAGTTCACGTTTCCTCAGCTGAAGGTTCTAACCCTGGCCCAGAGCCCTGCAGGGGGTGTGGCAAGCTTTTCCAAAAGTGAGATCCTTGGGAGTATAGGTGTTACTAGTTTAAATGCTGGGATGGGGGAAAGGGGAGAGAGCTCTGTCCTGCCAAGACACAAAATCTCCTAAGAGCAGCCCAGTTGAAGTCCCTTCTGTCCACCTGGCCCCTTTCTTTCTCCTTTCTTCATATGCTTTTAGACAGCTTAAATACAACCTTCGGTTGGTCTCATATCAGGAAATCTGCCCAGCAACTGAATATGTCCACCTGTGCTCTGGCACTGTTGTACTGAAATAGTAAGGGGTTAAGGAATTCACTCTTGTCCTTTTTTTCCATACTCCATATTTATTAAAACAGTTGCCATCAAGAGGAGTCTGACTCATGGCTTCCATTTTCATTAGCTAACACTTACTAAACACAATGTGCCAGGCACTGTTCTCAGTGGTTCCCACAAAGTCTCAACTCATTTAATCCTTACAACAATGGGGAAACTGAGGTATAGAAAGAATATATGACCTGTCCAAGGTCATACGGCTAGGAAGAGGTGGAGCTGGGACACCAACCAAGACGGCCACACTCCACAACCACTAAACCCACTCCTTTCAACAGTTTTCTCTTCAGCCTGGAAGGCTGACACCTTTGGCTCCCCACTTCCAGATTTCCCGGGGCCAATCCTTCAACACCAGTCCCCTGTTACTCACCACAGGAGCAGCTGCTGAAGGTTACCTAGCAGGGAAGGGGTAAGGAAGATGACTACACCAACCCCACCCCTTCTTGCCCTGCCCCAGCCCTGGCAGCACTCACCTCCCTGGCACTGCCCATTGGCATCAGGTTCTGGTAGTCCCAGAATGGAAAACACCTCGTCCTGCAGAGAGCGAGTAACACGGAGCAGTCCCTCCTGGAAGGCAGCGTAGAGGGGGGCCCCCACTGTGCGTAGCAGACCTCCCCAAAGAGCCTCCTCAGAGCCCAGCTCCTCTGTCGGGGTGAGTAAGCCCAACAGGCCCTGCAAAAAGTGAGGGGCTGGCTCCCTCCCATTGAGGTCTGTGGCATTGGTCAGGACCACAGTGGGCTGCACCTGCACCAGGGTCTGCCAGCGTGTACCCTCTAACAACAGCAGCAGAGAAGGCAACCAGTCAGCAGCCAGGACGCAGTCGGAGGGCCCATCACGGGTGCATGGGGGCCGGGTAGGGGCAGGGGGCCCTCCAGGAACTAAGGCTCCCAGGAGCACTTCTGCAAGTCCACCTAGCACACCTGCCTGGTGCCCCAGGAAGTCCCGAGGAGTCTGCTCCTGTCCCAGCAATGCCAGTATATCCCCCAGCAGCCCCAGCATTGGCTCCCAGTCCCGGCTGCCTCTCAGTGTCACTAGGAAATCATGGAGCCGGAGGGCAGGGGGCTGCAGAGGTGGGGGTTCTCCCACTGGCCCCTCCCCCATTCTCCCAAGCTCAAAGGAAGTAGAAATGTTGGCCAAGAATGCAGAAAACTGTGAGCGGCTGAGGGAGACCTGGGGAGCCCGATCCAGAGCAGAGAGTAATGACTTCAGGAGGGAGAGACCAGGGTCCAGGGACCGAGACCCCATAGGGGCCAGCATCACTGTAAGGAGAGAAACCAGAGATCACTCAAAGGGAAGCGCCTAGAGCCCTGGCCCTGACCACCCAATCCCCTGCCTGGATCTAAAGATGAGGTGAAGGGCATGGTGAGCTGGGTTCCTTACTGTAAGCATGAGCTTACAGGAAGTCTTGGCCTGCTTTCTTAACCTCCTTTTCTCCCTTAGTACCAGTCTCTGACCCTTTTCCTTGCCCCCTCCCCTTTTTTTAATCTAACCCATTAACCTCTGCAGTCTTAAGTCTCTTTCCAGCAACCATCCTCTTCATCCCCAACGCCACTCACTGCTCCTCTCACCTGCACAGGACAGCAGCAACAGTAGTAGAGGCCAGAGGCTCAGAGCCATGTTCCTAGGTGCGCACTAGTCTAGAAGTGAGTTCTGGTTATTCTCACCTGGTGTGGGACAGCCAGGTGAGGGCAGGGCACTGCAGGCAGCCTGGGGCTCCACTGACACTGCAGTGTGGTCTTTCACGAAACAATATCTGTAACCTGACAGCAGCTTTGTCACCTGAGCTACTGAATACCTGATCCTTTCACTCTAGAGAAAGATGTGCTTCTGAGAGAGGGATCAATGATCGGGGATCCCAGGGGGCACTTGGAGGAACCCAAGAAGACAGCCTGAATTAGGAGCCACAGATACGGATAGGTGTATGTGCACATGGAGCTGGAGCACTGCAGATCAGGGGTATAATTTGGGGGTCTGGAGAAAAATATAAGAAAGAAAACAAAGAAGGTACAAAGGAATTAAGAAACCATAGAAGCTAGATGGTAGGATTTCAGGGAACTGAGGAAGAAAGGGGCTCCAGGAGAAAGGAAGTGAGCAGCCAGGTATAAACAGAGAAGAGCAATGAAGACGGAGTTCTTGTCCAAGGATGGAGCACTCAGGAAGAGGAGATCTGCTTCCAGTTCAGCACCCAGAACCACAAAATGTTACGAGCTGGGTAGGACCCTGGAGATCACATAGGCCAAACCTCTCATGTTATGGATGAGGAAACAGACTTAGAGAGGTGTGACTTGCTCAGCAGGCCATTCAAATGCTTGGGTTTACCATCTGGCTCTCTCCTGTGGCCTAGATGAAAGCTGTAGAAAATTCTGAGCCGAGAAAAAAGTTAAACCAGATGAAATCACCGTACACGGAGTCTACTCCTCTCCCCAGCCCCCTCTCTGCCCATCAGAGCTAATCATAGATCAGAGAGGTTACATTCAAAACAATCTGGTCTGGTCAGAGTTAAAAGTCTTTTCTGTCCTTCATTTATATATTCCAAAAGGCCTTTACCTGACACCAGCTCTAAATAATAACTTAACACTGAGGCTCCATCCAAACCATTTTCTGTCCCTTTTGCCTTGGAACCCTTTCCCATCCTCTCCCCTAAACACACACTCGCCTCCATTATTAATGCGCTTCTGCCCTAGAAGATTCACTTAGGATCATTGAATTTTACAGATGGAAGGGACCTGAATAATTCTCTGGTAAAAATTTCTCTTTTTATAGATGAGGATGAGAGGAAACAGAGGCCCAAAGAAATGGAATGAGCTGGCCCAGGCCACTTAGGAAGCTGGGGGTAGTGCTGGGATTTTCCAAGGTTAGGACCAGTTATATGACCTATTGCATCATTTTGCCAATATTTTCCCTTTGCCCATCAAAAGGCACCACATCTAGTCTGAAAAGCAGAGAATCAGAGAGAGAATATGGCCTCAGTTCCCAACAGCTTTCTAGTTCCTGTTTCCAGCCCAACCTGCAATCCAGAATCCTGAAATACAGAATCCTACATTTCTACCTGTCTTAGTCATCTAGTGCTGCTATAACGGAAATACCACAAGTGGATAGTTTCAACAAACTGAAGTTTATTCTCTCACAGCCTGGTAGGCTAGAAGTCCAAATTCAGGACGGCAGCTCCAGAGGAAGGCTTTCTCTCTGTTAGCTCTGGAGGAAGGTCCTTGTCATCAATCTTCTCCTGGACTAGGAGATTCTCTGCACAAGGACCCCAGGTCCAAAGGATGTGCTAAGCTCCAGGTGCTTCTTTCTTGGTGGTATAAGGTTCCCCGTCTCTCTGCTCGCTTCTCTGTTTTATATCTCAAAAGAGATTGGCTTAATTTGTAGATTAATCTTGTAGATTGAGTTTACATAACTGGCGATTACCCCATCTCATCAACATCATAGAGATAGGATTTATAATACATAGGGAAATTACATCAGATGACAAAATGGTGGACAATCATACAATACTGGGAATCATGACACAGCCAAGTTGACATATATTTTGGCGGGACACAATTCAATCCATGACACTACCCTTGGTTCTGTGACAACCCTCTTATAGTAAGTTCTCCTTTTTTGCTTATAGGATAGCAAAAAAATGAGATGGCCTAGGTTCAAATCCTTACTCCAACATTTATCAGCTGTGTGTCCTAGGGCAGTTTCTAACCATCTCTGTGTCACAGTGTCCTTTTCTGTAGAAAAGGAGAAAACACTAGTGTCAGGCTGGGTTCTCTAGAGAAGCAAAACCAGTGAAGCGTATATATAAAAATATATATATAGAGAGAGAGATTTATCTCAAGGAAATGGCTCACCAAGTTGTAGAGGCGGGAAAGTCCCAAGTCCATGAGCCATGTATTAGGCTGGAGGCTTCTCCTGACTCCCGTAGCTGCAGGAGCTGACTAACCCAAGATCCATAGGTCAGATGGGAGGCTGCTGGCTCAAGTCCCAAGAACCAGAGGTCAGATGTTGATGAGCTGAATGCAGGATCCAGAGCAAAGCAAAAGCCAGCAAGCTTTGCCAGAAAGTCCACATATATTGGATGCAGGCCACACCCCCAAGGAAACTTCCTTGCAACTGATTGATTACTCATAGCAGATCTTACTGTGGAAGTGACTACATTATATCAGATCTCATCATGAAGATGATTACATCATTACACAACTGCCAAACTCCATCATAATGGCCAAACTACTGAGAATCATGGCCTAGCCAACTTGACACGCAACCTTAACCATCACAACTAGTATAGAGTTGTTGTGAGGATTAAGTTAGAGAATTCATTTAAAGTACTTAGCACAGTGTCTGGCATTCATGCAACAGATATTAAGCACTTACCATGTGCCAGGCATTGGTACAGAATAAACATTCACTAAATGTTAGCTGGAGCCCTGGTGATGCCGTTGTTAAGAACTCGGCTGCTAAACAAAGGGTCAGCAGTTTAAATCCACCAGCTGCCCCTTGGAAGCCCTATGGGGCAGTTCTACTCTGTCCAACAGGGTCGCCATGAATCAGAATTGACGCAACGGCAACGGGTTTGGTTTTGTAAATGTTAGTTATTATTAGACTAGCTCAAAATTCTTTTATTTGAAACTAAAAAAAAAGTCCTAATTAATGCAGAAATTGTTACCAAGAAGTAGCATCCTGAGTGAAAGAACTTCAGAACAAATATGGAACTAGCTGAGTCAAGCAAAGAGGGGAACAATGAGAACTCCTTAAACCCAAGATGGGAAATTTCTTGGCAGTCTACATTATGCTATAGTAAGCAGTTGGCTAAGCACCTGCTAAGGATTCAGATTATGTGCTAACTGAGGAATATTAAAATTTTGTTGAAAGAAGGGAATTCCTTTTTGGATATTTTGGTCTGGCTAATTAGTGCAAGGTCTCAAGAAATGAGGTGGAATGAAACTTGTCCAAGGCAAGGTCATGGAAGCTTCCTAGACATATCCAAACTCCCTGAGGGACCAAATTGCTGGGCTGAGGGCTCTGGGGACCATGGTCCCTGGGAACTTCTAGCTCAATTGGCATAACAGAGTTTATAAAGAAAATGTTCTACATTCTACTTTGGTGAGTAGTGTCTAGGGTCTTAAAAGCTTGTGAGCAGCCATTTAAGATACACCACTGGTCTCACCCCATCTGGAGCAAGGGAAAATGAAGAAAACCAAAGACACAAGGGAAAGATTAGTCCAAAGGACTAGTGGACCACAACTACCACAGCCTCCACCAGATTCAGACCAGCACAACTAGATGGTGCCCAGCTACCACCACCGACTTCTCTGACAGGGATTAGAATAGAGGGTCCCAGACAGAGCTGGAGAAAAATGTAGAACAAAGTTCTAACTCAAAAAAAAAACAAAAACAAAACAAAACAAAAAAACCAGACTTACTGGTCTGACAGAAAGTATGGCCCCCGGACATCCTTTTAGCTCAGTAATGAAGTCACTCTTGAGGTTCACCCTTCAGCCAAAGATTAAACAGACCCACAAAACAAAATGAAAATAAATGGGCACGTCGGCCCAGGGGCAAGGATGAGAAGGCAGGAGGAGACAGGAAAGCTAGTAATAGGGAGCCCAAGCTCGAGAAGGGGAGAGTGTTGACATGTCGTGGGGCTGGCAACCAATGTCACAAAACAATATGTGTACTAATTGTTTAATGAGAAGCTAGTTTGCTCTGTAAAACTTCATCTAAAGTACAATAAAATATATATATAAAGAAAGAAATGAAGTGAAATGAGACCTAGGGATTCTCATACCTTTGGAAGTATAATTAATTATTTTAATATTAAAAATTAAAATATTTTAATTAAATTTAAGAATGCGGTGACAATATACAGACAAATTATGTTAAAGCAAAATTGATATTGATTTATAACCAATAATACCATGTTGAACATAGAAAAAGTTATTAGGGTAATACAGTAGACAGAAGCTATACAGTTACAAAATTTCTCTTTTCTTCCTGCATTATTATTTGTATACTTTATGCTATAATAAAACTAATGTTTAATTTTTCTGCTTCCAAGTGAGAACACATTAAGTTCCAGTATGGAATATCTGGGTGGTGCAAACAGTTAACACATTCCGCTGCTAACCCAAAGGTTGGGGGTTTGAGTCCATCCAGAGACACCTCGGAAGAAAGGCCTGGCAATCTATTTCCAAAAAAATCAGTCATTGAAAATCCTATGGAGCACAGTTCTACTCGGACACACATGGGGTCATCATGAGTCAAAATCAACTCAATAGCAACTGATTTCACGGTATTTAAAGATCTAAGTAATAATTGGAGACCAAAAGGAAAACTATATTCAGAAATAAAATCTTTAAACAACTTATACATGAAAAAAATTTTTAATTTGGTTATATCACAAAACATCTAAATTCTAACTTCCAAAACACTCCTCAGGAACTCTCAAGGGTTACCTGGCATAAAACTTGAATATTTTCCTTGACTTAAGAATCCTAGTGAAAGGTATAAAGCTGAAAAAACCAGTTGCCCTTGAGTCGATTCCAACTCACAGAGACCCTATAGGACAGAGTAGAACAGTCCCACAGGGTTTCCAAACAGCAGCTGGTGGATTCAAATTACAGACCTTTTGGTTAGCAACTGTAGCTCGCCAGAGCTCTTAACCACTGCACCAGCAGGGCTCCGGTGAAAGATACCCTCAGAGTAGGGGCAAGGATAAAAAGGAAGCTAGAAGAGGTAATGGATGAATTGTCAGTGGGGACTTCATCTATAGGTCTTAGAATATTTGCATTTAGTCAGAAAACGTATTTATTTATGTAGCAGCTACTATCACATGCCTTGGAGCCCTGGTGGCGCAGTGGTTAAGTGTTTGGCTGCTAATCAAAAGGTCAGCAGTTCAAATCCACCAGCCACTCCTTGGAAACCCTATGGGGCAGTTCTACTCTGTCCTAGAGGGTCGTTATGGGTCCGAATCGACTCGAGAGCGACAGGTTTAGGTTTTAACACATGGCTCTGGGCTGCTGGAAGAATGACTTGAAAAAAATGGGAATAAATACCATCACTGTCTTCATGGAGGAGCCCTGGTGGCACAGTGGTTAAGAGCTACGGCTGCTAACCAGAAGTTCAGCAGTTTGAATCCTCCAGCTGCTCTTTGGAAACCCTATGGGGCAATTCTACTCTATCCTATAGGGTCGCTATGAGTCAGAATGGACTCAATGGCAACAGGTGGTTTTGCTCTTCATAGAAGTTCTGATTTATTATCTGGTGATCTTAAGAGGAACTGGTCAGGATGGGCAGAGATTCCTATCTATCTATTCCTAATTTCTCCCTCCCCACTAATCTACTTTCTATCTCTATGGAGATATTTTGGACATTCAATTCATTTTTATTTTTCCTATCTTGGCTTTTTCTAAACATAATCTTTGGTAATGACTGCTACAGAGGACTTTATAGTTGTTCCCTCATCATCCATTCTATCCCTTCCCTACTGCTTAGCAGTCCTTGAAGCTGAATATGACCGACCCTACCTCCAGGTCCAAGACATCCACCTTACCTCTTTGATTGGTTCAGGAGTGGGCAGATGACCTAGCTTGGTCCAATCACAGTGATGCTTGGGACTTTGTATATGTGTGGTTTAATTTACATACAGTTAATGCTCAAATTTTAAGTGCACAGCTTGTTGAATTTTTACATCTGTATATATCTGTGTAACCATCAAGCAGATCAAGATATAGAATATTACCAGCACACTAGAAGGCTCCCTCATGTTCCTTCCCAGTCACTATCCATATTCCAAGGATAACCGCTATTCTGACCCAAAGCTCAGGAGTTTTGTTCAATGACTGAGAAAGGAGTCATGGTCTCCCTTCCCCTGGATGTGAATAAAGAAGTCTATAGGCCTGGGAGCTGCAGGAAACAATCTGGCTACCTGAGCAATGACAGCCTAAGGGTAAAGTACACACAGAAGAGAGCATAGACAAGAGGATTACAGAGAAACAAAAGCTTGATGACAGTGAATTTTTATATCCAATCAACCCTGAAGCCACACTACCTCTGAACTGCCCGGTCACAAGAGCTAGTAAGTACGTTTATTGTTTAAGTGGTTTAAATTAAATTTTTCTCAACTCATCTCAGAATTTTTAACCTGGGTCAGAATCTTAGCTCTGCCTCTTACTTAGTATGTGCCTTTGGGCAAGTTACATAACTTCTCCAAGCCTCAATTTTCTGACCTCTAAAATGGGATTATATCTTTCTTGTATGTTTATTTTATGGAATATACATACATACCATATATACATATATGAGATAAATACATATATATTTCATATATATCCTCATATATGTTAAGCAATCAATAAAATAATTTTAAATAATAAACATTTCTAAAGACTTGAGTCCTCAACAATGCAATGGGATCCCTTCTAGAGAATAAATTCATTCCCAGTAACCAGAAACATTAAGCATCAGCTGGATAATTGCCTTTAGTGATGTTCTAAAAGGAGTTCCTGCTTTGATAGGAGACAGACTAACTCTGAAATCCCTTTGAACACTAAACATCTACAGAACACTTACTGATTTGAACACTCCAATAGAGCAGAATCACTGCCCGGAACAATAGCAAGGAAATGGAACAAAGAGGCTCTCCTTTGGCCCAGAAAGAGGTAAAACTGATGTACTGATTAAAGTTAATGGTGTACAAGAGAGAAAATGTTAGTAGAGTAGGTGATAAAAACAATAGTCTTCAATTATTTTAGGTTTGTAAGCTCTCCTTACCCCCACAGAGAGGCCTTTACCCACCCCAAGGACTGTAGAGGCTCCGTGTGTGGAGACAGAGACGGCGAAATTAGGACTCTGTCAGGAAGCAGAGGTTGCAGGAAGCATGAGGGTTAGGGTGGCAAAGCTGAGAAAAGTCAGACTCAGAAGCTGTAGAAAGGATAGAAAGCCAAGGACCACAGGCTCTCCTGGCATCTGAACTAATTTTTCACCTGACCTTATGCCTTTCCGTATCCATTATGTCTCAGAGACAGACAACTGAGCAACTATCAGCAGTATTTATTAGACGCTTATACTTTGAATTCTCCTTTTCCTACTATTCTCTTCATTATTTTTTGCTGGGCCCAAAGATATTGAAGCCATCCTCTGTCGGCTTTACTTGTCTTCAAAGTTCATCAGTGCCTGCACTGTAAAGAAACAGACTGTGAGACTGGAGGGCTAAGAATATTCAGAATACACAAATGTTCGGCGAAGATTTTTTTTCCTGGTTCCAGGTTCCCACACAAATCTTTACTTTAAATTAAGCCATGTGAGTCTGTGTATGCTTTGGTATAGATAATCAAGTTAACGAGGATTAAAGAAGCCAGCTTGCTACCTTCTCCTTCCTTTCACCCTGCACTCTAGGCTCCCCTGAGAACAACCAGGAAGGCAGGGCTGGATGAACCATAGGCAACATATTGAAGTAGGCAGAGCCTAGCCTTAAGGAGCCCTCATGATATGACAGTTAAGTGCTCAGCGGCTAATGGAAAGGTCAGCGATTTGAATCCATCACCTGCTCCAAGGTCTGCTCCTATAAAGGTTTACAGCCTAGGAAACCCTATGGAGCAGTTCTACTCAACTACAGGTTGTAACTGATTCGATGGCACCCAACAACAAAGACTGTCTTTAACATTCTGCCCCAAATCCCATGTTCCAATATTATTAATTCCTCTTATTACCCTCCAGTGCCCACCACACACACCCCCCACATGTACACACCCCCCACACACACCCCCCACACATTCCTCCCCTTAATTTAATTCTCATTTTCACATCGGGTTGATTTCAACTACTTAGGAGGAAGAAAGCTCAGATAACACTAATCCATATGAAACTGTAAAAAACTGCCCCAACCCTTCCAGTTTTTGTGTTTTTAGAGGGAATATTCATTAACCCAAACTAATCTCCAAGTGGTAAATTAAAAATTTTAGGAAATATAATTTTAAGAGGTAAAATTTCAGCTTAGGTCAACTCTACTATTTAAATCACACCATTTCTCTCTGCCTAGGCTGACACCAGAAGAGGATAAAAGTCTATAATTCATAAAGCTCTTTTGGGGGGTGAAGGCAGTCAGCACTTGTGGGCTTTCTGCTTACTGTCTAATCCCCACAGCGGTCTAACCTGAGCCTGAGGCCCTATGTTCAGGTCTGAAATGCCACCTTCAAAGACAGGAAATACGTACAGAAGGGGTGGGCTGTCCAAACCCAGCAAGAGCTCACCTTGTCCTAATTCCCAACAAGTGGAATTGGACACTTGGCTCTTGGGAAACAAGCTCTCATAGGGTTTGGGCATCTCCTGCTGGAGAAGCAGAGTTGCTACATTTTCTCTAGGTCAGAGGAAATTCGGCAATTTGCCCAGAATGTGACATACCAAACCAAGGGTTTGCCTTTTTTAGGTCTGAAGTGGAAATTGAGAAGCTGAGATGCCAAAATAGTGGACACCCTCCTTCCTTCTGCCCAGTTATGTATGCTACTCCTATGTACTTAACTCCTGGTCCCCATCACTGTCCTAAATCCATACCTGCAAACTCTTGCAACCGCTTACGCTCCTCTAGGTTATACTGAAGCCTTTCCAGCAACTCAAAATATCGGAAGAGTGAATCTCTGGGCCAAACAACGCGTTCCTCCTGATCCATTTCCATTAGGCCAGGCAGATTCTGGTGCACGAGAGTCTCCCAGTCCAACTGCCCTGTAGGGCAAGAATGCTTCTTAGAAGCATGTCTTGACTTGTAGAAGTTGGTTAAAGGCTGGTAAGTCCTACTGGGGGGAGGGGGAGGGATGAAAGAGGAAATAGGAAGCAGGGAAGGAAAACGGTACATTACCAAGAGACCACTTTTGACAATGAGCAAAGAGGGCCTCAGCTATACTTACCCAGAGCAAAGCAGAAGTATAGGGGAAATGAAGAAGCTCAAGGAAAGAAATTCAGACCAGGAAATCAGACTGGCAAAAGAGAGAACTGGGAAGCAGATACAGTGGGATAGCTCCTGTTACGATTAGGACGTCTCACAGGCGAAAAGAGGAGGCTGAACTCAAATGGAAGAAATCTTCCTCTCACCAATAGCTTCAGGACCTCTGGATTCAGAAGCAGAGGAATAGTAGGAGGATGTGGAGGAGGAAGAGGAGGACTTTTTTGCTTTTGACAAGGGCTCTTTTGCTATCGACGATGTTACTGAATTCTCTTTAGCAGCATTTGGTTTCGTCTCATCTCCTGAATTTTCGGAGTCCAAAGTGCCCTTTCTTTGATCAGCTTCTCTGTAAGTAAAAAAGGAAAATTTATTGCTTCAAATATATTTACAAGGTATAGCTAGTTCATTCCTTATTCTGGTCCTGGTCCTGATTCTGGCCATACCCTGAAGCTGAGACCTCAGGCAATAAAGGTCAAACTGCTCCCGAAATCTAAGCGTAGGAACTTCCAGCCACAATCATCCCCTCCAGATACACCTCTTCAGTGCTCCGCACCACATGACTCTGTGCTCAGTTCTGCTCAGGCCTCTGTACCCCACCGTATTTTGCCAAGTTTTAGCTCCCAGGTCTATGGCCCTATGCCTATAACACCAAAACTATAGCCCTTGCCCCCCTCAATTTCATCTCTTAATACTGTAGTGTCCTTGGGCTCAGCTCTTTATCTTCTCCATCTACACTCCCTCCCTGGGTGAACTCATCTCCTAACTTTAAATGCCTACTAAATGGCAAATTTAAACCTCTAGTCTAGACTTCACTCCCAAATCCAGACTTGTACATACAACTTTTACTCACATATCACCACTTGAATGTCTAATAAACCCAAAAACCCATTGCTATCAAGTCAATTTCAACTCATAGTGACCCTGTAGGACAGAGTAGAACTGCCCCACAGGGTTTCCAAGGCTGTAATCTTTACAGAAGCAGACTGCCACATCCTTCTCCCACAGAGAAGCTGGGCAGTTTGAACTGCTGGCCTTTCAGTTAGCCAGCTCTTTGTCCACCAAACCTCTTTCACTTGCACCCTTCCCCATCTCAACTAATTCATCCTTCTAGTTGCTCAAACCAAAACTTTGGAGTCATCCTTAACTCTTCTCTTCTCTCATACTCCACATCCAATCCACTAAGAAATTCTGTTTACTCTACCTTCAAAATACATCTCTTCTTACTACCTCATTGATACCGTTACCATCAAGAGCACAGAGGTTCTCTGGACTCAATGGGCCTTTGTCTTTCTCTTGTAAGAACACAGAGGAGACAATTTTTGGGTTCAGCTCTAACAGGTTTATTTTACTTGTGACAAGTAAAAGAAGTCAGTCAGGGGTTCATGCCTCTGCAGAAGACTGATTCGCCAGGAGAGCAAGGCTAGGGCTTATATGGGTTTGGTGGGGACAACAGATCAATGAACATTCAGTGAGTTTCTTCAAAGGGGCAGGTACTCCTTGGAGTGGTAGTACATACTAATTAGGTTGTGCACGCATCTGGAATCCAAGATGGAACCTGCTAATATTCAAGACGGAGTCCCCTCGACAGCTCTCGGCATCACTTACTATGGGATATGGGATATGGTGCAGGTGCACTGACCTCTATCACTTCGCCCCTTTCAGTGGCCAAAACAGTGGTTACACTTTGTTCTTCTGCGCATGCGGAGCCTGTAAGACGGGGAAAGGGACTAGAAAAACACTAAGGCGGACGTAGTAATTCTCGGGTTGTTCTAAGCTTATTTTATGTTGACAAGATGTGCTTCCTGTTTACTCAACTTCTAGGTGGTAGTCTTTTAACAGCTCTTTTATTCTGCCAGCACAGTTAACCCTATCCGTCTCAATACCACGCTCATTTCCGAGCCACCATCATTTCTTGCCTGGATAGCAGCATAGCCTCCTAACAGGTCTCTCGGTTCCTTTCTTTGTTCTTCATCAACACAGTAACCAGAGTAATCCTTCTTAAATGTAAGTCACTTCATGTCACTTCTCTGCTCACCATTTCACTCAGAGTGAAAGCCCAAGTCCCTACAATGGCCCCCATGCCCATAAAGGATCAGAACTCCATCATCTCTTGGATCTCATCTCCTACCATGTTATCTCCTTCCCACTACTCATTCTGCTCCTGTCACAAGGGCCTCCTTGTTGTTTCTCAAACACATTAGGCATGCCTCTGCCTCAGGACCTTTGCACTAGCTTTTCCGTCTGCCTAAAATACTCTTCCCATAGATACTCACATGCTAGTTCTCTCACCTCCTTCAAGTCTTTGCTCAAATGTTAACCTTTTCAATGAACACACTCCGACTACTTTGTTTAAAATTACAACCTATCTTCAACTCCTGCCCTATACACCCAATCCCCCTTACCCTGTACCACTTTTTAGTTTTTCATAATGCTAATCAATTTTAATATATTAAATAATTTACTTATTCAATATGTTCATTTTTCATTGTCTCTTCCCCCTACTAATATGTAAGCTCCATGAGGGCAGGCATTATTGTCTATTTTGTTCACTTGATGTATGCCAAGTACCCAGTAAGTATTCAATAATTATTTGTTGAGTGGAAAAATGAATGTATCTCTCCTTCTGCTATCTTGTCCACTACTGAACTCAGGGTCTAAAACAGTACCTGTTTCATAGAAGGTATTTGCATGAGTTGTCTATGGGTACTGTAACAAATTAGCACAAACCTGGTGGCTTAAAACCACAGAAATGTATTCTCTCACAGTCCTGGTGTCCAAAAGTCCAAAATCAAAGTGTTAGCAGAGCCACATTCCCTCTGGAGACCCTAGGGGAGAAGGTTCCTTATGTCTTCTAGCTTCTGGTAGCTGCCCTGTACTCCTTAGATTCTTTAGCCTGTGGCTACATTAAGGAGCCCTGATGGCATAGTGGTTAAAGCACTCAGCTGCTAACTAAAAGGTCAGTGGTTCAAACCCACTAGCATCTCTGCAGGAGAAAGATGTGGCAGTCAGCTTCCATAAAGATTTACAGCCTTGGAAACCCTATGGGGCAGTTCTACTCTCAACTTGGTGGCAGTGGGTAGGTGGGTGGGAGGGTGGCTACATTGCTCCAATTTCTGCCTCCTTCTTCACATTGCCTTCTCCTCTCCTGTGTCTTCTCCTCTTCTGTCCTTTTTTAAATTTATTTTTTACTTTTATTGTACTTTAGATGAAGGTTTACAGAGCAAACTAGCTCCTCGTTAAACAATTAATACACATTGTTTTGTGACATTGGTTACCAACTCCATGATATGTCAACACTCTCCCCTTCTCGACCTTAGGTTCCCCATCACCAGCTTTCCTGTCCCCTCCTGCCTTCTGGTCCCTGCCCCTGGGCTGGTGTGCCCATTTAGTCTTGTTTTGTTTTATGGGCCTGTCTAGTCTTTGGCTGAAGGGCAAACATCAGGAGTGACTTCATTACTGAGCTAAAAGGATGTCCGGGGGCAATACTCTCCAGACCAGTAAGTCTGGTTTTTTTGTTCGTTTGTTTGTTTTTTGAGTTAGAACTTTGTTCTACATTTTTCGCCAGCTCTGTCTGGGACCCTCTATCGTGATCCTTGTAAGAGAAGTTGGTGGTGGTAGCCGGGCACCATCTAGTTGTGCTGGCCTCAGTCTGGTGGAGGCTGTGGTAGTTGTGGTCCACTAGTGTTTTGGACTAATCTTTCCCTTGTGTCTTTGGTTTTCTTCATTCTCCCTTGCTCCAGACAGGGTGACACTAGTGGAGTATCTTAGATGGCCACTCACAAGCTTTGTTTTTTTGTTAGGAGAGAACTTTCAATGTATTTAATTTTTTTTAAATTGTGCTATAAGTGAAAGTTTACAATTCAAGTCAGTTTCTCATACAAAAATTTATACACACATTGCTATGTGACCCTAGTTGCTCTCCCTATACTGTGACAGCACACTTCTCCTTTCCACCCTGGATTTCCCATGTCCATTCAACCAGCTCCTGACCATCTCTGCCTTCTCATCTCGACTCCAGACAGGAGCTGCCCATTTAGTCTCATGTACCTACTTGAGCTAAGAAGCACACTCCTCACGAGGATCACTTTATGTCCCATAGTCCAGTCTAATCTTTGAAGAGTTGGCCTCAGGAATGGTTTCAGCTCTGGGCCAACAGAGAGTCCAGGGGCCATGTTTTCCAGGGTCCCTCCAGTGTCAGTCAAACCATTAAGTCTGTTCCTTTTACTAGAACTTGAGTTCCACACCCTACTTTTCTCCTGCTCTGCCAAGGATTCTTTGTTGTGTTCCCTGTCAGGGTGGTCATTGGTGGTAGCTGGGCACCATCTAGTTCTTCTGGTCTCGGGCTGATGGCATCTCTGGCTTATGTGGCCCTTTCTGTCTCTTGGGCGAATACCTCTGGCTTATGTGGCCCTTTCTGTCTCTTGGGCGAATACTTTTCCTTGTCTTTGGTGTTCTTCATTCTCCTTTACTTTTGGTGGGTTGGGACCAATTGATGCATCTTAGATGGCTGCTCGCTAGCTTTTAAGACCCCAGACGCCACTCACCAAAGCACTCACAAGCTTTTAAGACCCCAGACGCCACTCACCAAAGTAGAATGTAGAACATTTCTTTTATAAACTCTGTTATGCCAGTTGAGCTAGATGTTCTCAGGAACCATGGTCCCCAGAGGCCTCGGCCCAGCCATTTGGTCCCTCATGGAGTTTGGATGTGTCTATGGAGCTTCCATGATGTTGCTTTCATCAGGTTGTGCTGGCTTCCCCAGTACTGTGTACTGTCTTATCCTTCACCAAAGTTACCACTAATCTATCGTCTATTTAGTGTTTTTCCTTCCGCACCCCTCCCCTCCCTCATAACCATCAAATATTGTTTCTTTTTGTGTGTAAATATTTTCAAGAGTTTTAATAGTAATGGTCTCATACAATATTTGTCCTTTTGTGATTGACTTATTTCACTCAGCATAATGCCCTCAGATTCATCCACATTGTGAGATGCTTCGCAGATTCATCGTTGTTCTTTATTGTTAGGTAGTATTCCATTGTGTGTATGTACCATAGTTTGTTTATCCATTTATCTGTTGATAGGCATCTAGGTTGTTTCCATCTTTTTGCCATTGTGAATCATGCTGCAATGAACATGGGTGTGCATATGCCTATTTGAGTGACGGCTCTTATTTCTCTAGGATATATTGCTCAGAGTGGAATTGCTCGATCATATGGTATTTCTATTTCTAGCTATTTAAGGAAGCGCCGTATCATTTTCCAAAGTGGTTGTACCATTTTGCATTCCCACCAGCAGTGCATAAGACTCCCAATCTCCCCGCAGCCTCTCCAACATTTTTTATTTTGTGTTTTTTGATTCCTGCCAGTAATGCTGGGGTGAGATGGTATCTCATTGTGGTTTTGATTTGCATTTCTCTAATAGCTAGTGATCATGAGCATTTCCTCATATGTCTGTTAGCCGCCTGAATGTCTTCTTTAGTGAAGTGTCTGTTCATTTCCTTCGCTCCTCTTCTGTCTCTTATATGGACACTTGTTGGATTTAGGGACAACCCAGATAATCCAGGATGAGCTCCTCTTGAGATCCTTAACTTAATTATACCTGCAAAGACCTTTTTTCCAAATAAGGTCACATTACAGATTAAGGTCACATTACAGGTTCTAGGCGTTAGGATGTGAACATGTCACTATAATGAACAGTTATTGAATGAATGAATTCTCTCTCAAAGTCAGTCTTTGTCTTTGGTTTTCTACCTTCTCCTCCATATGCTTCTATCCCAGATCACATATACACTCCTAACCTGGTATCGATTTTGCTATGGCTTGACTTCATTGCCTCAGGGGACAGGTTTTGTCTCCTGCAAAACAAAACACAAAAGAATGAAGACAGCTATATCAAGCAGGAGTGTAGTAAGAGAGAGAGAGAGAAAGAATTCAGATTAAAAAAAGAAGAACACTGAGTGGGAAGAAAGAATTGTAGTAAAGGGGTGAAAAAGAGTGGAGGAGCCCCAACAGTAGATAAAGCATCAGGCAATATTCTACATTTGGGGAATTCCTAACTCTGGGACAAATCTTCTGTCACAAGGGGAAAAGCGGGGTCGAGGCCAAGGAGTAGAAATATGGAATGAGGTCAGGAAACCCTTGAGAACTAAGGTTGAGTTTGAAAATGGGGAAGCAGACCTCTGGATAATCTGCCGCTTGAATATGCCGGCTTTGTGCTGAACCTCCAGATGTGTCATCTCCTCATTCAGCTCATTCCTGATATTCTGGAAGTTAGTAACTGCCCCAAAGGGCCATCAGGAGTTGGGAGATGGTGGTGACTAAATCTGGGGAGAGGGCTTGGATGGGTGGAAACCAAGTGAAATGTCCATTTCAGGCCCCAAGCCTTCCTGTTACACCAGGTTCTCTCTATCCACATCCACCAATCCCAGCTTTCCTAGTCATTTCTTCTCAACTACGCCCCCCATCAAGTTTCACTTCCTATATGCTTACCCATCATGGCTACTATGATATTTCGGAAAATAATGGAGCCAAGTAACAACCAAAGGATGACATAGATGCTACTGAAGGTGCGGCTGACTTCAGGTACCTTCCAGACATCTTGAAGCAATGCATACCAATGATCCAAGGTGAAGAGAATGAACACTGTCACTAGGGAATTTAGCACGTCCCTAAAGAAAATGCAGGAGTGTGTATCTATACACAGAAGCAGAGATCTAAACCTCTTAGAATCAATATCATTCTTACTTTTAAAGCAACATGAGAACATTTCTCTGTAATTTATTCTGACCTTTGGCTCCTTTTCTAGCATACTCAATATTTTAGCTTATTCTGCAGTTTGAGGATGTTTTATAAGGTTTTCCTTTATCATGACTAATATATGAATACCTCTCACTATTTCATTAGTACCTGGGGCATACTCAGTAAACAGGTGTTGGCTGAATTTTTTTTTAAAATAAATGAATCAACAACTGGATATCATTTTTTATAAGTTCATTCAATACTGCTCTATGGACATCACCTAACGGGTCTTACAAATTTAGCAAACATCATCCCTATTTAGCTCGCTGATATGAATTGATAGGCAAGTAAACAGATGAATATGTTACATAAACTTATGTGATCCCAAATAAGAATATATCACAAAAGTTCTCAGGAAGGTGTCTAAATAGTCCTTCTTCCCTTCTTAGTTCCCCACGTACAATTTATTGAAAACATCAGGGCTTGAACTGGATGAATCCTAGGACTTCCCTCACTCATAACTTTTTATAAAACTATCTGTTGGAATCTAAGAAAGACCTGAGAGGTGCTGAAAAGTTTAGATTCCAATTTATAAATAAGATTGCTGTTGTTGCTATTGTGTGCCGTCCAGTTGATTCCGACTCATAGCGACTCTACATGACAGAGTAGAACAGCACCACAGGGTTTCCTAGGCTGTAATCTTTATGGGAGCAGGTCACTGGGTCTTTTCTCCTGTGGATTTGAACCAGCAACCTTGTGGTTAGCAGCTGAGTACTTAACCATTGCGCCACCAGGGCAGATTATCTCCTCCAAATTCAAGTTGACTTCTACTAGCAGTCAGTGACCTTATCCAGATTTTAATTTTGAATGATTACAGGTAAGTGCATGTGTAATCCCCACACCTAGAGAGCCTATCATGATTAGGGTAAGTAAACCCAGAGACCATGTTTAAGAGTAGGAGTAACACTTATTGATCACTTACAATGTGTCAAGTACTGTGCTAAATGTATAAATGCGTTACCTCATTTAATCTCCACACTTCTGTAATACTATTATCCTCATTTTTTAAATGAGGTAACTGAGGCATAGAAACCAAGGCTTAACCACTGGAATATACTGCTATTGAAATATGGTTGATGAGGGTGTTTGAATTTTCAAAACCTAGGTAAACATGGAGCCCTGGTGGCTCAGCTGTTAAGAGCTTGGCTGCTAACCAAATGTCAGCAGTTCAAATCCACCAGCTGCTCCTTGGAAACCCTATGGGGCAGTTCTACCCTGTCCTATAGGGTTGCCAGCTGCCCTATACAAAATCAGAGGTAACACCACTCACTATTCCTTTGTTGTCTCTTTCCCTGTCTACTGTGTTTACCTATTCCACTTTCTTACATTAGACTATACTTTTTTCTATTAACTACATTTTGAACTAGCTTCCTGGTCCCTTTCCCAAATTCTCTCCCCTCACCCAGGCTTCCCCGAGCCCTGCCTACGAGAAGAACATGTGGTACTCCAGGTCCTGGCGAGTTGAACGGGTGTAGCCTTCGAAGAAGTAGACACCAGCCACAGCAAAAATGTAGAAGAAGATGAGCAGCAACATCAAGAGGAAGGTCATGGTCTAGAGGCCATGGTCTCCAGTCAGAGCTGGGCCAGACTAGGCTGATACCCACTCTGGCAATCCCCAAGCCAAACCCTCATTTTCAGTCTTGAACCCAGTCATCTCTAGACCATTACAGCTTATTCCTAGCCCCTTCTCATCCAATAACATTTCATTGAGCCTTTTCATTGCCTTCTTTGACCCACCCAGACTCCTGTTTCATGTTAAACTCCTATGTTTATCCACCGTTCCCTGGCTTAGCTACAACAGTCAAATTACCTTGAGGGCCCTGACCAGGGCCAAAATAATGACTCGAATTTGACGGAATCGTGCAAAGAGTTTGAGTGACCTCAGCACCCGGCAGATCCTGAGCAACTGGAGCCACACCGACTGGCCTGTTACCCCTACCAGCACCACAATCTCAGGAATCAGGGACTGTGGGAAACACACATATTATGAGCAATATACCCACAAGCACCCAGGATAGTTGCCCCTTCTTCATCTCATTCTTTTCATAGTTCCCTAAGCATTATCCCTTGAATAGCATTCTCTGGGAACTGTTTCCTATTCAACCTTTCTGTACTAAATTACTTAAACTCTGTACCTCAACTAACTCAGATGTAAAAAGGAGATTTAAACAAGTGCTTATCTCGTAGGGTTGTTGTGGGACTCAAATGAGATAATGCATGTAGAACAGAATAGTGCCTGGCATTTAGTAAACATTCAGTAGCTGGCAGTTGTTAAGGTTCGGGGTTGATATGGTTAGACTCTGCCTTGCCGTTCCCCAAAACCCCATTGCCATCAAGTTGATTCCAACTCATAGCGACCCTTTAGGACAGAATAGAACTGCCCCATAGGATTTCCAAGGAATGGCTGGTGGATTCGAACTGCTGACCTTTTGGTTAGCAGCCTAACACTTAACCACTGCACCACCAGGGCCCCTAACACCAACAATTACTGCAGTGATTTGCCTTACAGTTTTAGGGAAAAAAGCAAATGAAGGAAGTTAGCTAAATTTTAAATTTTCTTCCTGTAATCTAATCATCTTAATTTTTCTTATCATTTTGATTCACCTAGGCACATTCTTCAGCCAACAAAACTAATCACCCAGGTATCTATTCTTACCAATATAGTAACAACAAAGTCAAAGACATTCCACGCATTCTTCCAGAAGAGGAAAAAGCTGGATGTCCACATAAGAAGGATCTCCAAGAGGAAAACAATCAAGATGAACCAAGCTGCCACCTCCAGAGTCAGCTTCAGTGGCAACAGTTTGACATTTGTGGATTCCAGCAATTCTGTGAGAGCAAAGAATGAATAAAGGTTAAAGTAGGGGGAAGCTGAATGATGAAGAGAATGATCAAAAACTGTTTTAAGCCACAGTTGTGCCCGTGGCTACTTCATTTTTCTTTGAGCTTCTCTTTTTAACACTTATTACTTCAACGTATGAAATACAGGGGACAGAAATTACCATAAAAATAGCTACAAGGCTAGGGTTGCACAGCTGATTGTTGTAAGTGCTATCAATAAGTTGTATACCTATAAAAAGCTGAACTGGCAAAAGCTGCATAATAGATATATTTACAACAATGACAAAAAAGAGTAGCTGCTGAGGCTGCTTATGTACAACCAAACACCTCATGGGATTTAGTTCCTTGGTTTGGAGGCTTAGGGTCATGGTTTCATGTGATATCGCAGTTAATTGGCCTAATAACGTGTTTAGTGCTTCTGTTCTACCTCCTAGCTGGGGTCTTAAAAGCTTGCATGTGGCCATCCAAGGCACAACAATTGGTCTCTATTCGCCTGGAGCAACAGAGGAAAACGGAGAGTCAGGAACAGGAGGAGGAGATGGAATATGTGGCTAATTGCCTCCATAACAGCTGTCTCCTTTGCTATGAGAACAGAAGAACTGGATGGTGCCCGCCTACCATTACTGAACATTTTGATCAAAGATTCTATAGAACAATCCTGATCAAAAGGGGGAAAATGTAGAACAGAATTTCAAATTCTCATGGACTCTAGACTTTCTGGAGCCATGGAGGCTGGATGAACCCCTGGAACTATTGCCCTGAGATAATCTTTAAACTTTAAATCAAAAATATCCCTGAAGTCTTCTTAAAACCAAATAATAGTTTAGCTTAACTAGTAAAGAATGTCTCCCTGGAGCATTACGCTCTTTTAAGATGTATCTATATGGGATCAAATTGACCACAGCAGCTTGAAAGATTAGATAAGAACTGTAGCGGACAGTGAGTTTATGTTAATGGGAGGAGGAACAACTCAGAAAAGGAAGGTGAGAATGGTTGCACGACTCAAAGAATGTAGTCAATGTCACTGAACTGTACATGTAGAAACTGCTGAATTGGTGTATGTTGTACTGCGTATATTTTTAACAACAACAACAAAGATTATTAAAAAATAATAATAATAAAACAAAATCCTATGGATCACAACAATCTGGTCTGCAAGTGATCATGGGAATGGCACAGGAATTATCTCAATGGCAACTGGTTTTTTATATAGGTATCATTGCTTTTATAATAGAAAAAACTAAATATTGTTTTTAAAAAAAATAGCTACAAGTCATCTCCATTTGGTATTGGTATTTCTAACAGCTGCAAGTCACTGCCTACCCACTCTGGTGTCATACAGCCACCAAAGGATTGCTTTCTAAACTACCACCAATCCTGCCTGCTATACTGTTACCTCAGGCCCACAATTGGCCTTGAGAATAGAATGAAAATGTAGGGCCATGATATGAAAAGTACTTCATAAGGAATGTAGACAGAAGGAGCCAGATTTATGGGACATATTGAGTTATAATATCACTCGGTTCCTTATTTGTTAGCTTTCTTTTAAAACTTTCCTTTTCTTCTCTGCCTACAACTCATTTTTGTTCTGCACAGCAAACTGAGTCCTATACTTCCTCTCTACAACCTTCCTTGTGTTTGCTAATTGCTGCTCTTTATGTCATTGTTTTTATCTTTCAACCCTCTTTCTTTCTTTTACATGTTTAATGGATATATACTGAGCTCTAGGAAAAAACAAAAAACATTGAGTTCAAAGTAGACTTGAAAGTTAAATAAGAATCAACATCTGGTCCTTGGCCTTTACAGTCATCCTGACCCTGGAGTAGATCACAAAGAAAGACCCAGAGCCATGCTTCAACCCTCCCTAGAATGAGCTGGCCCCTCGTTAAAACCACTGGAGATATTTATTCCTATGCTTCTTCAGGCTATGTGCTTCTTCAGCAAGTTTTGCTTTTACATAAAACATTTCTCTAATTCTAAAACGGGCAGTTTTTCACATTCTAACATCTCGGAGATTAGGCTGCATCTTATAATCAGTGATGTATCCCAGTTTAATTGAAAATTATTTTTCTTTCTTAGCAGTAGATAAATAATGCATTTTACCACCAATGACAGCTTAGATTCAATAAAATACAATTTTTTTTTTTGGTAAAAAATTCTGGCTTTCAGGGACATGGGATTGTATTATTAGAAGCTGCTGGAGGTCACATTTATGGCTGGAAAATGGAATACTATAACTTTTATTCCATTTTGGCCATCACAAAAGCAGGAATTCAACTAGAGCGATAAATCCAACTAGTTTTAAATAGGGGTCATGGGAAAAGGAGTCTGATAATTTGGTAGGGAAGTCCAAATTACAGAAGAAGAGGCATTTTTACTGTTCGGGAGAAAGAGCTGACTTCATAGAAGCTAAAGGAACCTAAAGAACATAAAAAAAACAAAAATCCTCACAACTGGACCAATAAGCAACATCATGATAAATGGAGAAAATACTGAAGTTGTCAAGGATTTCATTTTACTTGGCTCCACAATCAACACTTACGGAAGCAGCGGTCAAGAAATTTGCCTTGGGCAAATCTGCTACAAAAGATCTCTTTAAACTGTTAAAAAGCAATGATGTCACTTTAAGGACTAAGGTGTGCCTGACCATGTCATGGTGTTTTCAATCGCCTCATATGCATGTGAAAGCTGGACAATGAATAAAGAAGACAGAAGAAGAATCGATGCCTTTGAATTATAGTGTTGGTGAAGAATATTGAATATACCATGGACTGCCAGAAGAATGAACAAATCTGTCTTGGAAGAAGTACAGCCAGAATGCTCCTTAAAAGTGAGGATGGTGAAACTTCATCTCACATACTTTGGACATGTTATCAGGAGGGACCAGTCCCTGGAGAAGGACATCATGCTTAGTAAAGAAAAGGGTCAGCCAAAAAGAGGAAGACCCTCAATGAGATGGATTGACACAGTGGCTGCAACAATGGGCTCAAGCATAACAACGATTGTGAGGATGGTGCAGTGTTTCGTTCTGTTGTATACAGGGTCACTGTGAGTCAGAACCAACTTGACAGCACCTAACAACAGCAAAGTAACCTAGGGAAGTTCAGAGGAACAAACAGAGCAGAAATTGCCTCAGCAGGACAGAATGTGCAAAAGTGATTGCTGCCAACTGTAGATCAACTAACAAAAATGTGTACTATCTGGAGATGAAAATATAACTTAAAATTCTTGGAATTCTTATAGATGCAAAAATTCTCAACAAAATTCTAGCCCGTAGAATTCAGCATCATATAAAAAAAAAATACACCATGACCAAGAAGGATTCATACCAGGAACGGAAGGATGGTTCAACATTAGAAAATCAATGTAATCCACCACGTAAATAAAAGAATCACATGATCATCTCAATCAATGCAGAAAAGGCATTCAACAAAGTCCAACACCCATTCCTGATAAAACCTCTCAATAAAATATGTATAGAAGGGAAATTTCTCAAAATAAATGGCATCTATACAAAACCAACATCATTCTTAATGGAGAGAGGCTGAAAACATTCCCCTTGAGAACAGAAACAAGACAAGGATGCCCTTTATCACCACTCCTATTTGACATTGTGCTGGAAGTCCTGGCTAGAGCAATAAGACAAGAAAAAGAAATAACGGGCATCCAAATCGGGAATGAACAAGTTAAACTGTCCCTATTTGCGGATGATATGATACTACATATAGAAAACCCAAAGACTCCACGAGAAAACTACTGAAACTAATAGATTCAGCAGAGTAGCAGGGTACAAGATAAACATACAAAAATCAGTTGGATTCCTATACACCAATAAAGAGAATGATGAAAAGGATATCAGGAAAACAATACCATTTATAATAGCCCCTAAAAAAATAAAATATTTAGGAATAATTTAACCAGGGATGTAAAAGACTTAGACAAAGAAAACTACAAAACATTACCACAAGAAACCCAAAGGGATCTACATAAATGGAAAAACATACCATGCTCATGGATAGG